CAACAGCCCTTTAAAAAATGCCAACGTACTTCGAAAGACGTGAACTAGGAAGAGGAAGCAACAATTCCGATGTGATATAAAGCGAAAAAAATAAAATTCCAGGATGGCAACAGCTGCGTGTGTCAGTTGCTGAACATCAACGTATCCGTATTGTAAAAACATGGGACAACGTCCAGGGATTGGTCAAAGAGGTTGAGATTCCTTTGCGGAAATTCCGAAAAATCCGCGTCCATTGGTGGACGATGCTTGAAAGAGATTCCTGACTTGCTGGGGGTCTCTCCACTGGGGGTCTTGTTTTTTTCTCTCTCTCAATGAAACAGGAATCAGTAGTCCGACAGGTTTGACTGTGAGAAGACCCCGTACCTGTGTACATAGGGTAAAGATGTCAGGTGAGAATCCAAATTGTAGCAAGAACCGGTTCTGAGATCCCCTGCGAAGAGAACTGTGACTCCTGAATCGTTTGTAGCAATAAATATTCCCAAATAATTCACTCATCACCACAATTATCATTTTTTTAATTATATCGATTGTATAGATCCGAGGATTACTCACGAGAGTCAATTATTATCATTAAATTATCGTTTATCGAGGAATCGTAACGATTTTAATTCGATTTCCGGAACGTAATCAGCATTTACATTATCCTGTGCACAAAAGTCAATATTCCAGTGCCTGAATGACGAAAATGCGGATTTATCAAATAATTATCGAAACACGAATTGCCCAAAATCCAAATTCAGCATATGATTATTTCATATCGATAAATCCCGAGCATTCGGTGAAATTTGCATGATAATAATACGAACTATTGAATTGATTGAGTTCTATTTTTGTGCCGATGAGTACCGGTGAAATTTTTTATGAACCTCCATTTCATTATAACCAGCCGTGGGCTCCATTAGCGAGCGTCCACGTCAACCTATGAATATTGAAAGCACACGTTATCCCATTGGATATCCCGACTTTCCGATATTTCCTAATGTTCCTGTATCACGAAATGAAACTAGAGGAGTGAGATTATTCCCAGCCCTGAGGGTGTAATAATGACGTTTTTTTCTCCAGGACAAGGATGACTTGAATTATTTTGCGATAACGACGAGTCATTCCCTCCCCTAACGACATGGCAATACAAAAACAAACGCATAAACGGTGGAATTGATAGTATTCCTCGACTGTGTTACCATTCGGGGGGAAAATAGCGCCGTGAAATTGTCCGGGAGAAAGGGCCAAATGTATCAGCAATGGCGAAAGCAACAGATGTGAACGTTTTACACGATGGAATAATCATAGAATGTACGGAGAGAGAGCGGATGCTGCGACAACGAGAATTCCTAATACAATCTTCTTCTTTTGCTGATGCTACCGTTAAATGTCTTCCGTTCCATTGTACCCGAAATCACGAGTTTTTTCATTTTATTATTTTATTTCTTTTTTTTTCTTGACTCGAAAATTCGAAATTTCGCGAGGGTGCGATTTTCCGGAATTTTTTTTTACACTTTATGGGTATTTTTGGAGGGTCTAGGGAAAGCAGAGAAATTATTGCGATCATGAGATTTTGGGAGTCAAGTAGGGGAAACGTAGATTAATTTAATGAAAGGAATTGTCAACTGCAAATTATGAGTGGAATTGGACGAAATCTGTTGTTTGGTCCCTTTTTAAGGTATTAAGACAAGAAGAGTCATGAAACTGTACTGTAAAGTCTCTAAGATAAGCGAAAAGTGGCATGAAATGCACGGAGAGGAAATTATTTAAAAAGTTATTCTTGCTGTAATCGCGTGGCGGAGTGGTAGTTCAGGAATATCCACCAGAAAATTTGAATAAACATAGTGTTAAATAAAAATTACAGATATTTGCATATATAATTTTCACTCAGATCTCCCGGCAAAAATTAGTGTCAAAATTGCCGCCAACTTCTCCGGAATTTTGAAGAAAAAATTTTTGAAAATCAATGACAACCGTAAAAAGACAAAAATTCTCAAATAAACTTCAAATCAAAAGGGAAATCCCCTGAGTCATGTCCTCCCGCCGAAAATTCCAAAATGTCACCCCTCAACCCGATAAACAGCCCCTCATTTTTCATTTTCATTAGATTGCCCTCACAATTATGAAAGTTAACCCTTTGAAAAAAGAAAGTTCTCAGTGTCACAAGTATTGAAAAGTTTAACGCGAATAAGCCGCAGATTATTTATTATCGCTGCGAACTACTTTACTCTCTTCGAGGAAGACGACAAAAAAAAAGAAAATGAAAGAAAAAAAAAATAGAAGAAAAAAGAAAGAAAGAAAACAGAAGAGGGAAGGAAAAACTTTTCCACGAAAGTTTTCCCACAGTTCCTTCTTTCCCCCGAAAGATAACGAGGAGGTCATACATATTCATGAGGTCCATCGATCGTCCTTCCCACACACTTTAACCCCCCAGCCCCCGCTATTTTTCTTTCCCCTAGCTGTCCCAATGTTTTTTTTTCCCCCTCGTAATTCTACGTTTTAAACTTTCACAATCATTAATTGCTGGTCATTTATAGCCGCGCGCGGGCGAAACCAGCAAGTTATATCCCCAAGTCTCTTAGTGGGAGTTTCCCGGAGAACTCTCTCATTATATACGCAAACCTGAAGATCTCATACATATTAATGAGAAATCGATCGATTTTACCCGTACGGGGGTTTTCGGCGGTGAGCTTCTAGTCCTCTTAGTCTATTTACAGACATTGCCATGTTCTCAATATCGGTGCACCAACCGCTCTATCTCTCTCTTTTGCTCTATATACAGATACCCTCTATGTATATACATTTGCGACACCGCAGGTGGTTATTATGCCATTAACTTAATGAAGTTACACGATGAACGAGGACTGGCAGATATAGACCTCAACTTGAAAACTCATGATCATCTACTCAATTTTCTCTCGGTACAATGTCCACATGAATTTGCCATGAATTTCGGTTATGTTCGGGGTTATTGGTGTGGGATAATTCGCGGGATTGAAAAATTGATTGATATCGGGTGATAATGATGGATTAATTAATTAGTGCGTGGCCTTGTCGGAAGAGGAAGTCACGTCAGTTGAGCAGAGAATTCAGTCGGTTAAATTGGAAAGCTCTGTTTCATTGGGTCAAGTGTTGTTGTACGAATATGGGGAAATATGAAGAATATTGAATATTACTTCCGGTTACGATTTGAAGAAAATACGAAATTATTTTGATCCTTGAATTTCTCTCGGTACAATGTCTACGTGAGTTTATGATGAATTTGGGGCACGTGGGGGTTATTGGGGTGGGATAATTTGGTGTATTGAAAAATTGATTGATGTCGGGCGATAATGATGGATTAATTAATTAGTCTATGAGCGCCGGAAGCGGAAGTGAAGTGAATTGAACTGAATATTTACGGAGTTATGTTTCATGAATATGTTAAATTGGAAAGTACAGATTCATCTGTTCAAGTGGTTAATTTCGTTTTAATTAACAACTTTGGGAAAAATGTGGGAAAAATGAGTATTGAGTATTATATAATATATAAATATGTTTTCGTATTGAATCGGCTTGTATACGAAGTATATATTAATTATACGTACATATATTCAGGCGGGAAATACAATATGTCACATGCATGCATTTTTTTTTCAGGATAATAGATCGGAAAAGGCACGATAATTGCCTCAAGTTCCTCTCGATACAAGTCCTCATGAATTGATGATCAATTTGGTTGTTCGTGTGGATATTCCTGTTTATCGGTGCGATAACTCAATTCAATCTATCGAAATGTAGATTGATATTGGGCGATACTAATGGACGATTAATAAATTAGCGCATGTGTTTCCCCGAAAAGAAAGCAAAGCAGATGGAATTGGATGTTCGTTCCATTAGGTCTAATGAAATTACAAAATTAAAAGGCGTTTATAATTAATTTAATTTTGGATTTCAAATTTTTTATTATTTTGGTGGTACAATACATTTTTAGTTGTTGACGGGAATAAATTTATCTGTTATTCATCCCACAGATTTTTTATCAATATACAATAATATTGCGGAGAAATGGAGAGCCACCAGTTGATAATGCTGGAATATAAATAATTTGGTGAATGCAGTTTGCGAAAGAGAGAAACGACGTGAATTCAACTGAGAATTCATTGAACTGGATTCAACGAATTTACAAAAGCGAAAAGAAACGCTTGACCCAGTCTTAAATACATAATGATGTGGAATATTGTTCCCATCAAAGGGTTGGCGGACAATCTAACGAACAATAAATATAAATGGTTTGTTTCGAGATGGGGAATGCAGACCACTCGTTTGTAGGTAGTTGGCGCAACTAGATCTAGGAATCCGAAAGAAACTCGATTGATCATAATAATTCTCAAAGAAGAAGGAGAGACTAGAAGAAGGAGAGAATTTGCAGGGCGGAAGGAACTCCAAAGGGTCTCCCCTTATAAGCCTCACCATCAAGAAAGGAAGGAAAACTAATCAAACCTGATGAAAGCCTTGGACATGAAAGGTCGCACGAGTCAGTCTCGAGCTTAAAGGTGCCTTTTCCAATTCTACTTGTCTTCACTACAGCAGCACTTTCTTTGTCAGCGTTATAAAGTTGATTGCGATTCTTCATTCTGGTGAGAGGAACTAGAAGATGAAAACATGAGGAAGGCGCGGTATTCACCCATTTGATGTCAACGTCTCATATTCCGAATTTGGAGGTTGATCTCAAATTGAAGGGAGTACTCTCAATTCTATCAAATATTGATTAAAAAAATATTGATATCCCAGAAAGCACGAGGTAATTTTTTCTTGTCAATTCGCCAATTCGCCAATTCAGTGGAATTCTTGAACCCATCGACCTCGAGTGATTGTCATTTTTAAAAATCATTTAAAATAAAAAGTCGACGGCAGTCACGAAGTCATCATGATCTGAATAGTTCGAAATAACGAAAGGTAATTGGATAATTAATGAATGTGGTATGGCATTAAAAAATTGGGGGAAATATTGAAATGAAAGATATAGGTATGCTCACCTGATTTTGATTCCAAATCTTTGTCTTGGAGCTAGAACTCGTAGTGTTTGTTGAGCCGGGATTAACGGACGTTGAATTACCATTTGGTGAATGAGCGGATTTACTTGATGGTTTTCCGTTTTTGGTTTGCGTTGAAATCCCAGCACCACTGGTTGTTAACGATTGTTGGGAATTAGCCGGCTGCTGCTGTTGCTGGGTCTGTTGCATTATTTGTTGGATGAGTTCGATTTGCTGCTTTGTTAAGCCATCATTGCTGCCGCCCGGTGATGATGAATTCTGCAAAATAGTAAAAAATGGAGGTTTGAGGGTGAATGGAAATCCGCTTTGTGGAATATCGTAGATTAAAGGGTATTTCGTGTTGAATGGCGCTTGGAAATGCTAAGAGCATCTGAACGAAAAGAAAGTAATGAATGAATAAACCATGAATAATTGTCCATTGAATGCATACGAATGCTGAATGCATTCGTGAAATTAAAAGGTTATAGACATGGATTACTGGATCAACTCTTCGGCATTTACTTGATTCATTATCAATGAAGGTTGTACGTGGGCAGATGATGGCGGTGAGTGAAATAAAAAATTGAGGATGGAAAAAGTCGTTGAAAAAAGGCTCTCCACGGTCACTCAATTTTGAATTGTGCGTCACCCAACCATAATGGCATTGAATAAAACACTCGCTTTCGTTTTGAATCTTGTTCTTTTTTTTGTAAATATTTAAACTGCAAGAGAATCATTCTAATAATTCACTATGTGCATTAAAAATATGTAATATGTATGTGTAATGGGAATGACAAGATGTAATTATAGTTGCCTCAGTGATTGGAATTACTGGACGGATTGCAATTGATTTAGACTCAGGGACTATTCTCCAGTTTCCTTTAGGTTTATTTGAACAACTTTTTCATAGGTTCCAGCGATTATTTACGGGACTTTTAACGACATGCAAGATAGCGCGTTACTCGTCTTCATATCCTATCAACTGCTCTCAGCGGGGATATAAGATATAAAGGACAATTTCCTTGGTTTACATCACTGGTACGGGTCGTTCACACACTTTAGGAATGCCATCAAGGACTTCATATCTAGAATAAACTAAAGTTTACGGCTGACACTTCCACCGGAACTGTAAGAATCGAGATTTCGATTCTGTGAGAGTGAAATTCAGTTAAATTAATTCACAATGAAGCACTGATCCAATAGTCCCTTTTACTTTGTGAATGCGCACGTCAAACCAGAATCCATAAAGTTAAGATACTGAGAGGTGGCCTCTGACGGTTTTACCATAGACCGTAATCCTCTTAGTTCTGGAATATATTATAAACTCGCATCTGATCTGAGCTCATGAAAAGAACTTCATATGAAGAATGAAAAATCTACTCGAAGGCAAAGGCTGGGAAGTACTTTATAGGCCCATTACAACTTTGAGAAGATGATATCAGCGGCTGATGTACTTAAAATCATCCCATTAAATTCATCCTTGATAATGTAAAACAGCTTTTATTTTTTTTTTCAACTTTGGTTATGGCCAAAAAAAAAAACTGGAAAAAGGGTGATCAATCCTTAATTGATACCTCATGATCTTCTAGGACTTTTCAAATTTTTCTAATTATTTTCTACTACGGGGGAATATTTATCTCCGTGAAATATTTTACATGTGGATGAATTCCAGGACTAGACTCAGGGATAGTCAACTGGTTCTGCTCAGATGAAGTTCTCTCCCAAGTCATCTCATTTATTTCTTCTCCACAAGGAGCTGCTGTAACTCTCATACTTTTAATTCGTTTAGACGTGGGAGTTCGACGCTCCATCGTGAAGGGTAAAACGTGAGGGCTTATTACAACCAACGCCAGGTGCCACGAACTCCATTCATTTCCCTCTCTCGTGGCCCTAGCATATTTTTACAGAGGCCCGTCAATTTTCATTTGAAACTTTACCCACGATTTAGCTGTAACCCGCCATTATTCTACCCCATTCCTCCTCTGTAGCCATTTTTTTTCTTCACTCCTCAACACAACCGAGATCACTCATTCTGATAGGTTTAGAATTTCAGAATCACTTTTCTCCGCATCCCACGAACCTCTTCAAATATCCTCTTGCTCATGTTTTCACTTTGTCCGTTGGAATTTATCCAATTAAATTATGACCGTTTTCAAGAGATGTTTTATCTTATTGTTCCACTTTTCTTTGGAGTCCAAGTTTCTTTATGAGGAATGAGAGGATTTTTCATTATGGTGAGACGTTAGAAATTTTTCCGATATCCGGAGTAACGAACGAAATTTCTCAGGTACCGAGGGATTGGATAATGCGCATTTTTTATTACTGGTTATTATTGTTTTTAAAAAACATTTTGATGCACCTACTGGGGAGATCAATAATTCAAGCAAAAAATGATATACAAATTTTTTTTTTTGCGGAAACAAATCCAATTGATTATTTATTATGAATGCTGTGCAATTGATTAAAAATTAAGGACTATTGATAAATCAGGTACAATCGAGTTTGATAACTGATACAAGTCATCACCACCGATCTATCAATAACCATATTATCTGATACACAGAAGACCGACAATTGCGACCTTAATTGCAACATTGAACATCACATAATGGCCCTCTTAACACATTTTGACCTCAAAGGACAACCACTGAGCCGGTGAAAATTAGTGCGTGATGACCGTAAAGTGCCTGATTTGAAATCAATTATTGGTGTGTTGTATGATGGTCATACGGTTGCAAAGGGTTGTAATCATCCTCGATTCGGAGAACCAACGCATGATAACCATTTGGATTATAAACCTGATATCAAAGGAACCAGCGATTTCATGGAGACCGGTATTGTGATTGCGATACTCCCATAGAATTTTCCACCGAATATTGACACTTTGCCGATTTTATAACAAGATTTCGCACGCAGTCAATGTTCCTATCTGAGTTGACAACTCATTTACATTTTTTCTCATTAATTTTCAGGTAAATTCTATGCAAAGATGATCAATTAGGAATAAGGATCTCGTAAATCAATTATTCGTCAATTTAGAACACGACAAAGGGATCCAACGGGTGTATAAAAGGATACGCTATATCGGAGAACGAGTGACTTGATTAACTCGACGAATCTCCAAGGTACGAGTTTGGAATCCCCGGGTGGAAAATCAACGGCCGGTACATCCCACTGTTCCCATTCTGTTCCCACCTCCTCACTAACTGAATCAGGGAACATCGACTGACCTCTGAAAAGTGAGATAGAGAGGATAGCGAATTGTTGGAAGTCGGAAAATTTTCACCATCAGGAAATAGTTGGCCAGAGATTGGGAGAATCAAAAGAACATGTATCAGAGAGTCGGATATCTCATATATATAATATGCATTGGAGCTTTAGCCACCAACGCGGCTATTTTCCGTAACGAACTTTCATCCAGTCGCCATTGGAATTGCCAGCGGCATGGCTTTATTAACCACCAGAGGTACCATACAGAGATATCCATGTATGGAGTACCGATACAACCGCACTGATAAAACCTCTCATCCAATCTCCTTTGTCCCGTATTTTTCAATCTCCCGTCCTTCTCCATCGTCTGAATTATCCCAAATTCAAATACCTAAAAGAGAATGTGTTATGACTACGCGTCACAACATTTTTTCTATTTTATACTCCCTTAGTCAAACCAACGATATATGGTATTTAACTAATTGAACCCTTTGAAACATTTGCCGCATTTCAACTGGAATCGCGAGGGGAATTTTTTTTCACGTTAAATAAATCATTGCATTTACAAATTCATGGAGTACATGTGACCAGAGGGAGTTTCGAATCACCTGACAATGATTCGAGGGATAGAACTCTTGTTTCTGGATTGTAGAAAGAACACTCGAATCACTTCAATCAATAACGTTGAAATTAGAGCTTTCGGCTTGTTCGGTTTTTTTTTTTCAGGGATGAGTTCAGTATTTGTCTTCATGTATTGGTCATTTGTCCACGGAAAATGAATTCTAAAATGGAAAATAGGAGTTCCATCTACAAAAATCTCCAATCGTCATAATTAAATTGATTTTCGTTTCGATGGAAATAGAAAAATTGTTTTTTCAAGTGCAATTTTTTATCTTAGAGCTATGAATTGCCAATTTCTCTGCTCGAATGCGACGGAAAAAAACGTAAAATATTGGAAAATATGAAGTACTGCTTTTGTTCATTCACGTTTTTATCAATGAACTCGTCTAGACAGTTTTTCTGAGCCATTACTGCCATCCTATTTATTTTTGACGAGAGGAAACTGCAAAAACCTCTGAATCACATGACGCGGATGTTCAGGTGGAATTCTTCTCTCTTCCCCCGAATCACCCGGAATTCAAATATGAGAGAGCAGAACCCGCACGGAAAAACTATGTACATGGAAACAGATATATGCACCCACACACATGGCCCCGATGTACTCCCCATATACTTAAAAAAAATTACATTTGCAGTCTAATTTCGCACATCGCACCTCCAATTTTTGCATTCCATCCACTTCCTCAACCCCCGAGTGCATTACAACCGCAACAATCAACCTAATCAAACCCTCAAAAAAAATTACCGCCCTCGAACTGAATACCCGAGTGATTTTTCCACACGGAAAAAAAGAAATCATTGAATTCAAAAATATAACGCCCGCGAATTTGTCAATTTTTCTGGTCCAATCGTCAAAAAAGGGATAAAAAGCCCGAGAAGAATGAAAAATATGATCTAGTGCGAGTGCTCCTATCCCCGGTCCATTTATTTTTCAGAATAAAAAAAAAACCTATAAATCGTACCCGAACACGATGGTCTATTCACGTTTATATATCCATTTATCCGTATGTATTTACTTCATATATATGGGAACAGTGGGATGCAAAACGAGTGGTCGAAGGGCTTTTGCTGTGGATATAACTCGAGTGTGTTTTGTAAGCGTAAACGCACATTCGACTGCATCGCGGGTGTATTTTATGCGAACGAATGGCCGATCGAACGTGCAATACCATCTCTCATGCGGCAACAGGAATACGCAAGGATTGGCTCTCGTTACACATTGTACGTTTTATGCATAACTCAGGGCAGTGTCGATTTCAAGTGTTAGAACTCCATGTACCGTCTACCGAATAGCGTATCCAGATTCAGATCTCTAATTAGCTGTATATCAAATGAAAGCAATCATCTGGATATCACACCGCTGCGTTGTTCCAATCGCTCACGTTAGATCGGTTTGGCTTCTCGTTTACGGTCAAGCTGTACCAGCTGTACCAGTGCCTTTTCCCTCTGGATCCTTTACACCTAGTTTTCCCATGATATGGATCTAGGATTCGATCGGGATTTCTTTGATTTGTCGATGGATTCAGACATGTTCACGCTTACATATTGTATCGCGTTTTAGTACTCCGATGGGAATTTACGGTTTCAATTTTCAAACATCGTTTTAATGAATCTAGATGGCTCCATGTTGGTTTTGCTACACTTAAATGAGAGGATTTTTATGAAACGGGCGGGTTGATAAAGTCCTTCTTCTGAATGGTGAATCAATTTACGGTCATACGTGCATCTATGATTGAATTGGAAAAATTTCGGGGTTTTTATTTTGGATTTATGGGTATTATGATGTGGATTATTAATTTGTAATATCTGTGAAGAGATTTAAATAGAATATTTTTGAAAATGAAAATTTTTTAATTGGGATACTCGCAGGATTCAATGGCTGTCGTGATTTCCGGGGCTGGGGTAAGACTAATTGGGAACATGTTTGGGATTTAAGCGGAATGGAATTAGAATGGATTTTCTAAAAAAAAAAATTTCGTCATTGAGATATGATCAAACGTGGGTGGGATGCAGGGATGCTGATGAAGAGGATTGGATTATTCTTTTGTCAATGTATTTTCCGAGAATTTTAGTGGCTATTTGCAGGAATTACGAACCGCACGTCGAGAAATATATATATAATTTCTGGTTGATGTGGGTAGAGGATATAAATAATTGGGCATTCCTCAAATGTATTCCGTTTATGGATAAAATGGAAGGAAATAAAAAGATTGAAGTGGGAATGGCCCAGTAAATATTTGATTCATCAATAATATGGTTCTGCTCCCCGGGTAAAAGAAAAATTGTAATCGGAATAGTCTTTCCAATTTTTTTTATGAAACGAAAAAAAATCAGAAAACTAAACAATTTTTTTTTTTTGGAAAAGTTTTAATTTTTTTTCCCCGATTTTTTTTTGTTTCAAAAGAAAAATTTTCGGAAAAGTTTTCCAGAAATTTTTTGAAAATTCGGAAACAATGTTCCGATTACAATTTTTTTTTACCCGAGTCCTATAAATTTTTATCCCAAATTGCTCAAATAAATGAAAGTGACTTCAAAGTCGCCATTGATTATTAAATAAAAATTCAGAATTATAAAAAGCGAACATATTGAAATTTTCTTTAATAAAAATGAAACGATTATATGTTCAAAACATTTTTCACATTCATTCCACGAGTTTTTCCCACCCTCGAATTTCCCGATTTTATTTCAAATAAAATGATAAACATTTATATAGAATTCTCGTTCAACATAAAAAGAGAGAAATATTGACTGCTCTTCGAAACGGACATAATAATTTCATGAAATACCACATGAAATACGATAACAAACCGTACTCATCACATCCGTGTAAATAATCTCCAGACACAGAGACCCTCCAGGGAGTTTCGCCCGCTGAAATCGAATACTCCCAACCTAGCCGCTAGCAATTCTCAATTAGTAAAATGTATGGAATCATCGCAATCTCGTTGTAACGAAAATTACGAATCCACCATGAATTTCTATTTAAATCTCCCCTTCACATGATGAATTATCAGTATGCTACGTGCCCGTGGATTACAACGCTATCCGATAAATAGATGAAGATACGTTCTCTCTGTTTGCACAGTGTGAAAGCCCGAAAGAGAGGCGGCTGTTGTATGTGCTGGTTAACTGAGTCGGATATAGCAATTTGCGTAGAATTCAGTTTATAGCTAGAGTATAGACTGACCTCAGTGACAATCCTTTTGTGTATACACCAGTGCAATCCATTTGTACCTGTATAATCTGTAACTGGATACGCAGTTGTTCGATAGGTTGGATCAACCTCACCAGCATTAACCACCTCTCCCCATTTTCACGTTATTATCGAAAAAAAAAAAAAAATTCAATCCCATCGCAATTCTTTCCCAGAATTTTTCCTTCAAATATAACAAAACGAGAATTAAATACAATACGATCCGCCATTTTTTTTTCTGTTATTTCATTCCGCGGTATTATAATTTTTATTATTTATTACTATTTAATTTTTGTTTTAATGTGAATTGCAAAAAGAAAATCGATCTCGAGCCTTTGGTTATGAAAAAAATGTTTCATAAATCAGGACTGCACAGGCAGAGGTCAGTTTTTCCGCCACTGTAAAATCATAGAGAAGATTAATTACCTGGGGAAATGTTGGGGATTCCCGGGGTTCAGGATAACGAGGGGCCTTCCGTTAGTAAAAAGCTTAGGGCCAGGTGTGCAGTAGACTAGGGGTTCCAGTCGAAATGGCCTGTAAATCGAAATCTACGAATACCCGTGCGATTAACCCCACTCCACCCTTAAACTTTCCACTTCTAGTGCTTTCGTTTGTTCATCCTCATTCCACTTCACATTCAACTCTCTTACCACTCCACTTTTTTTTTTTCCTTTCGATTTTCCCCTTTTTTTTACCAGCAATATCGAACAGTCACGTGCGGGTTATTCCATCCCTCTGGATGGGGATAAAAAATGAAACTAATTCAGAAGTCGATGAGAATTCTAGAGATTTGATTTTCTGGGATATGGACATAATGCATTGCACCTATAAAATTCAACTGATATTTTTATGAAATCCACCGGTGACGGAAAATATTGCAATTTTAATGGAAACGATTTAGCGTTGGAACTGAATTTATTTTTACGTGTCACTTATCAGTTTTTTTACGGAGGGTCGCCGAAATGAGATTAGAAGTTGAATTGTGCTGGAATTCTTTCATGAAATTCAAGGGTGAAAATTCCTAGCTTCTGGGAAAAGTTGGGAATCAATAAGAATCGAGAGAGATCGTTGAAAAATGAAAATTCCTTTCAATTGAGAATATCTGAGAGGATTTCTTATCGGATAAGATGAATCTCTTTAAGACTCGTGACACGACTAAAGAGTTTTTTCAAATTTATTCGTAAAGGCTAAATTTAGCAGTTAGTTATCGCTGCTGAATCTTTAAAATGTTAAATTGTTAAAGTAATATTGGTATTTCCGGGAACACTAACTTTTGCAGCTCCACTTCAAAGTTTTATATTTTCATGAGTGGTTTAAAGTAGCCATCGAATATAGAGGAGAAATTTGGTTGAGGGGCAGTTAAATAGAATTGAGAATATACGGATATTGAGTTAGTGAGTGGAAGGGTGTACGTGGGATTTGCTAGAGTCGAGCTAATAACATTGGATAACTTTGGTAATGAGAACGAATGAGTATAGTCAAAAAGGGGAATGAGAGTACTGTAGCAGAGAGCATAAAATTCGAAGATGTGAAGGGGTAGGAGAAACCAGGAGTCACTATTAATAAAAACTAAGTGATTTATTGCAGCTTCCAGGATCAACCTAATTTTTTAATCCATAATTGTCGGATTTAAATATCACCTAATTAAGTGATTGAATTGGGGAAGAGAAATCCGTTAATTTGTTTGAATTTTATTTGCTATAAACGGATTGGAATAATCATTCCTTTATTAAACAAGTCATCAATCATTCAGGAAAACATTGATAATTCTCCCTCATCTGAAAACCTTCCCGTAACCATAATGCACTTAATGAATTTTCCAACTTCAGCGATGCGTGATAATCGCATCATGGATTTCCCGTAATAATGCACTTGTTCCTAGCTGAATTAATGGAGCTGTTAATGCATTTAATCCTCTGTGTTGAACTTCCAAATGGGAGAGACCGAGAAACTTCGATCTATGAGTTTTCTATTTTTCCCGGGAATTTCCAGAGAGAAACTCTGGATATTTCAAATTCGAACCTAAAATTATTTACTGTGTATTCATGTTCCATATTTCATTTCCGTAGATTTCATTAACGAAAACTCCTAATTTTGTAGAAAATTCACAACTGTAAATAACAGTTCCACCATTCTCTATAATTACTATATTCTCTAAAATTATTAATCAGATGTTCGGAATTTAAATTCAAAAATATGGTATCTGTAGCTCCCTCAGGTAAATGGATTGCAGGTGAAAAACATTTTTTGGTGTACGTACTTTGATCAAGACAAAAGTTATGTAATATTGTCTATCTCACCTTGTGGCCCGATCCTTGTGTGGGTTCACTCGCTAAAAGTTGTTTAAGCGCTGTATGTCCGTGACCATTTTGGGTTGTTGGTGGTCCAGGTGTACTTGGCGTGCTTGGATTACTGCCTGGCGTGTTGGGTGTGTGTGGTCCAGTTGTTGGACTACTTGGACTCACACTCTCATTAACTTTACTCCCAGCATGATGGTTTTCTGTGTGTCTGCGTAGACTGCGGGCATCACAGTAAGACTTTCCGCATCCCTCCGCTTTACACTCGAATGGCTTCTTGTTTCGGTGAGTCAACATGTGGCCGTTTCTGTCAAATTAAATATATTATCATTAAACGTTGGTCAAAGAGACCTCTCAAATATTCATCTCATACAGCTCTAACGAATTCTTTCTCGGCAATTCTATTGCCAAGTCGTAAACTCAAATCTCTCTAGTAAAAATCATTTGGTACATCATATTTGCCCGGTCATTTATGAGTACACAGAATTTGACGGGATATTATCTGCCAATTGAACACAGGGGCGACTGTCACTCCATGTTGCCCTGTACACCGTGTCATGTTTGGTATCAGTTCTCATCGAAATCAATTAAATGCAATTTCCTTCGGATTTCCCATTAATGACTGATGAAAACCGCAGAATCGGAGGGTATCGATAACAGGAACTATTTATAGAAGAATTTCCGCAGTGGAAATGTTCCCCTACATGATAGAACTCGTGGAATGAAAAGGGCCGCGAAATCGTCGGAGAAATGACCTTCTCAAAAAATACATATTTCTCTCGAGTAAATGGATTCGTGGCGAAATTTTTTTTTTCTCAACGCGTGGGTACCCCGGTAAAAAAAAATTGTAATCGAAATATTTTTTTCGAATTTTTATAAAATTTTGGGAAAACTTTTCAGATATTTTTTTTTTTAAACAATTATATTTTTGGGAAATGTTGGGAAAAATTATTCTAAAATTCTTTTCGGAAAATTTTTTTTATAATTTTTTAGAAATTCTCGCGAATATAATTTTTTTTAAATTATCCTGTTCTTTTCTTACTTTTAAAATTCTTAAATATTCTGAAAAAATACGCGACCTAAGTCATAAAAAAAAATATCCTATTCAAATTTTTGAAAAATTTTTCAAAGCCTTTCCCAAAAATAAAATTGTTCTGTCCAATTTTTTTTGTCTTAAAAAAAAATTTCTGAAATATTTTCCAGAAATTATTTGAAACATTGGAAAAAATATTCCGATTAAATTTTTTTTTTACCCGGGTATATAATATATATCGATGTCACATATGTAATATCTTCTCCATGTGGGTTGTTAGGGGTGCATCGACGCGGATGTGATCTCTTACCAATGAGACCAATAACTTTCCAATTAACCCGGGAGTGGTCAGCTAACGCTTCGTTACGATTTTGGTCACGTTGCGAGGGATCTGCGGCAATGATGTTCAAGCGGGAATGTTGCCACATCGTTTATGCTCTTGTATTCGGCGGCTAACAGACACCAGAGGACGAGGGGATATGAGAATAAACCGGCAACACTGTCACTCAAATATTACTAATATAAATAAATATCTTTCGGATATATTGCGCAAAAACCCACTCATAACGGATATTTTGCAAAAATCTAATCAATCAAAAATATAATGAATGAAGTGCGGGTTAACTCTTTATCATTTATCAACCGACCACGGGAGTGACTCAACTTCAAACATTTTACTGTAAAGTGATGTGTAATATGCATGTATTCTCATGGAAATTAATTAAATGTAATTTCCATCAGATTTCTCGTTAATGAATGATGGAAAGCACACGAGCGAAAGGTATCGGAAACAGTTACTGTTTGAAGAAGAATTGCACAGGTGAAAATGAACTATTGTGGGATATCGATTGTCCTGTGATGAAAGGTAAACTGAGAAAAATATTTATTTATAAAATTAATTAATTTCGAGGGGTTAATTTCACACAGGACAAAATGGAAAAATAAATTGTGAGAGGGAATTGATCGAATTGTAAGTTTCAAGTTCACAGGCCACACCGTAGCAATTGACATTCGTCATGTTGAAAGAGGAAAATTAATTTCCCGGGTTCAATCACGCCGCAATCTTCGATTTGATTTGATGTTGGGGCAGGCCAAGAATGAGACACGGAATGACGCTGGCTTCATTTTCTCTTATCATTTCTGTTCAACACTTTGATACTTCGTGCGTACATGATTATCTCTTGGAAATTCGATGAACTAGATGAGCAACAAGTAAGCTTGAGGTTTCAAATTTTATGCAACTTTCATCCACCACAAACTTTCATAGTTGTGTCTTGGATTCCCCTTTATCCGGTCTCTCCTACACGTCTCTCCTGTCGGGAAGACAAATTCCAGAAGACTTTCATCACAATGTCATTAATTTTGAGACCACCGGCGGAACGATAACCAGCTTCGACTTAATAAAGTAATTACTGTTCTTTCATTGGAAACTGCAGGCAGTGGCTTTGAGGGAAATCCCTTTCTCCGGAGCTGTATAATAATATAATTCAATCGACACTGAATTTCTCGTGGAAATTATCCACCCAAATCTACTTTTATTTCGATAAAATAATTATTAACAATATGAAATTATTAACAATATGAATGAGTCAGGATGCAGTTCCCGAAAATTCATGGAAATATTTGCATACATTTACTGGTACCGAAAAAATTTACTCTGCCAAAATAAATTAATTCAGGAAATATATTTTTTCTGCTGTGCAATGAGTACCGCAGAGTCCGAAATTCAAGGGTTTCAGACATCTTCAGTAATGATTACAACTGGAGTTGCAATGAAACCAATAGAACTTGAGGAGATATACGCCTATGGCTCGAGGGCTTTCGGTACGTCTAATAATTGGCTTCATAAGTTAACGAGAATCGAAATTGGTCAGAGCAGAATTCAGTATAAATCCGAGGGATGAAAGGGGGCCATAGTGGCTGATCCTCGGTTATTCGGCTTGCCGATAGATTTGGAAAGGTACGAGTGAATCGAGAGAAAAAAAAAAGAAGGAAAACTGAGTTTCACAATGTCTACCCACATACAGCTTTGACCTCTCTATTCGAGGAATGATATCGTTGCCAATAAATTTCAACTGTTGGTTCAGTATGGATAAAAAGCCCTCGAAGAAAAGGCCAAAATAGGGAGAGAGGTAGGGGCGGTATGGGAGAAAGTAGAAAAGATCTGGACGAGTTTTATGGCCTACCGATAGGAAACGAGATGGGATCCCCTTAAACTCCACTGACTCTCCATAAAGTTGGAAAACCTCCCTTCCATTTCCATTCTCCCATCAACTAATCCCCTCCCTCTACCCACTCACCCAACTCTTCCAGGGAAATGGCTTTAATTTGTGAAAGCTAATTTACCCAACTTTTTAACATGGCGAACGTTAGAATATAACAAAAGAGCACATGAACTTCTTTCACCGTCACGATAAAAGGAGAATGGTTCATTGGTGCACGAGAAGTACTTTCTCTCTTTCTCTATCGTCACTTTCCACGAGCAACTTGAAATAAAAGGAATGAACCGAGAAGCGAGGAATGGTGAATTTTAAAAAGGGAATATATCTGGAGAGCGGTGGAATAAAAGGAAATAGGAATATGTTTCCTGGTTGGAGGAGACGACTGTCGTTGCTCGTAATTATGAACGAGGGTATCGGTGAAAGTCGAAGGGATGTATGAGGCTCTTCTTCGGAGTTGAAAGAAGGTTGGTGGAGATTGAAGGGGATGGTAACCAGTCGAGTGAACGAACAAAGAAACTACCAAAACTGGATTCAACGCTCATTCTCAGCCGAGTCCTGATTCTCTTTCACGCCGGAGGGATGGAAAAAAGACGTTTATCGCTTTGAGGTTGTTTTCGATGAGTGAATTCCGTGGAGACTACATCGGCTTAAAGGAGAGCACATTTTTTTCAAATTTTTCAAAGGAAATTTTGCCTCGGGGGAGGATATTTCGGGGGGTGTTCGCTCCTGTCTTCGGGCAAATTGAAACTTTGTCAAATTGTCAGTTTTGATTGGCAGGGGAGCTTAGTCAGTAGTTTTTACAAGAAAATCTGAAATTCCACAACGTAGAGTGAAAATTGGATTTATTTTCTTGATATTTCAAAACCTACATTTAATTGTTTTTTTTTTTTCATAAATCATTACCCGCGTAATCACGGAAAATCAACTTCACTCCATTCTAGAACAATTGCATTCTTTCTTGTGTTCTACTTCATTGTGTTCCTCAATTACGAGGTTGAATGAAGTACTGGGTTTTAAACGGGTTTTATTCTGAAATTTGCAGAATGAAAGGCTAGATGGTAGAATAAAAGTGGCAAGGGAAAGAGGATCGGAAATGCTGTCCAGGCAGGATGAACTTGGAAATCCAGAGGGAAGAAAGGGGATGGATTTTGAGAGTGGAGTAGTCCGATTGGGCGTCGGTGAATGGAAAGAGGCAGGCCAGCACGACGGGATTTAGAGATCCATCTGTGAAGAAAAATACAACTCGTCTAGTTGAACGAACAGACGAGCCATAGATCGAAAGAGCCAGCGACACCCACCCACTCTGTGCAATCCTATCGATTCGTTTTCATGCTTTTTTCTATTTGTTCAAGAAAATGGAATCCGATGTCCAAGTGCGCTTCCGTAAATTCGCCACCTGCTGTTTCCTTTCGTTATTCTTGGAGTGAAATTCCTTCAGGGGTCATAACTGCGCACAATTTGTCAGCTCAGGAAGTGAAGTGGCTTTCTCAGGATATTTATTAATAATAACTCGGTTGCATCAATTTTTACTGCGCGCAAAACAATTCAGCTAACTAATTTCTCAAGTGCAAATTACGATCACATAAACGATTCACGACATTCACAGTTTAAAGATTAACTGAATTTATTGTAGATATTGACAAAAAGATCTTCTTTAAACGAAAAAAAAAAATTTAGATAAGAAATACAATTTTGAGATTACATTTCTCCCCACTGGGTATCTGGAAAATTTCCGTCATCAACTGATAATACTCGCCTAAAATGACTCCAAAGCCGTATGTTTCTAAAAAAAAAATACCGAGACTATATCTCATGACTCCAGGGATGTATTCAGTTGAACCGTTTTCGTACAGAAAAGTAATAAAGTTTTATGGATTGCGGAGGGAAAGCTGGATCGCGTATATTATAGCGTCGCGAGCTCTACTTGACGTTGGGATGCGATTGCGTCCCTTGATAATAGCGTCGCGAGCCCTACTTGATGTTGGGAGGCGGCTGGGTCCCTTGATAATAAAAAAGCTTTTAAAAAAAACTTACGATGAGAGAGTCGACATTCGATAATGGAACTTGCATTTTATGGAGAATTTCTCAACTTTTTTTTTCATCTTCTGAGAATATTATGTACAAACCTCCCTTTCGGAATAAATAACCCCTGTACATCGAGGGATTGTAAAAATTCTTATTGATTTTACAATTGAACAAAAGAGAAAGAAAGCTATAAATTAATAATAATTAATATCTCTTTGCCATAGCAAAGACCATTCACCCGACACCGGAGATAATTGAATGGAATTCCTTTGTAGTCGGGGTGGGATAATTCTAGGAACAATGCCAGATACCGATCTTCAGATTGGAAATAGATTAGATACCTACAAGATTGAGGGATCGAGGGGGTAGGTAAGAGGTACAGAAATTTAACTCGAGTTGTATGGGGTTTAGAGAGAGCAGTCCGTAATTACAGGGAGTGAAGCTCGAGATGAACTCACAAGTGGTCCTGCCGCTTGAACGCCTTGCTGCATATCGTGCAAATGTACTTCCGCTCGTCACTGTGCGTCAGCTTGTGCTTTGTCAGTGCTGAGGCATTGTTGAACACTTTACCGCACACCTACGAACAGAATTAAAAGAAACCAACTTTAATACATCAGCAATGCACTTATTCCCGAATACATCCAATTATATTATTCAACTTAACAATAGACCACCATTTGCTAAATTGTCGTGACTAGGTGTAGCCTAGGTTACACCATTAATTTATAAATTACAATTATTATTGATAAATTGAGAAAGGTATGATATGATAATAGATCGACGAACAGATGAATGAAATATTATTTGTTATGGCCGGTATAATCGATGTCGCCCTGCTAATTCATTATCACAAATTGTCTCACCAAAGCCGCATAATTGCTATGAATATTCCATAGCACTGCATTAGCACATCGAGTTAATTTTCTCGCTTGAGAAGCAGAAATAAAAGGAGACAGCAATGAGCGCGGGCTATATCTATATCGGCATCGTGGAATTTGCGACAACGGCAAAGTGGACTATCTCCTTCATCTTTCCGATTCCTTCCACGTTCAGGATATTCTGCGGATTATTCTCATCGTTCCTGCCTCTGAACAGGTTACCCAACAGGAAGAAAAAAAAAAAATCTCTGAACTTAGCATACAGTGTCCATCGAATCGAAAACTGCTCTCGTTTCATTCTCCAAGAACCACGTGGCGCACAGCTCTAGTGCATTTAAAGTATATTTTGCTCGTCGGACCACATTGGAGTTGAGTTACTTGGTCTGACTATAAATTGGGTCATTTAAATATTGCGCATGGTGGAGTCACGTTAACATCGTATATATTATTCGCCATTTGTTAGATTATCTAAAATCCTGACGCTTGACGGGAACTTCAAGTGCGATCACTGGATGACACGTAAAATTCAATCAATAAAATGGTTGAAAATGGTTGAAAATTATTGAGACAGTTGAGGTTTGGCTTTTTTCAGGATTTCAATTTCTTTGATTTTTTGCACTTGGGATTAATTTGAAAAATGAAATGCGAGAAAAAAATAATCGCTGAAATCCATGCGGTGGGCAAGGAGTAATTCAGGAGCTCCATTATCGGAAAAATCTCAAACGGATATTTCCATAGCGTATGACAGACGCTCGTCAACTACTAGTTGTGACCGAAATCAATTTCCTTGGTGTGCTAACGGGTGTAATTCAAGGTGCGATGACATTTAGTCCCGAGAATTGCTCCATTGAACGTTTGACAAGGTAAAAATTGATCGTGAGTTTTACACGAGTCGAATTAAAATCCACTTTTCGGTGGAATCATTGATCCCAATGGTGCTGGTATACCGAGAAGAAATGGGGTAATGTGACAGCTCTTAAAATTTCATAGATTGTCCTCAAAGTTTGAAACTATCCTCTCACCGAATTCAAGGGCTATTCCTTTTTCGACCGACGAAGAATAATGGGGGAGTTACCATTATCCCATATCACGAGTAAAGACACGTTGGAGGGATTCAGCAATGTTAGTCCAAAGTGAAGAGGGTCAAGTAATAGAATATAGTTACCGTTCGAGTCCTTGTAATCCTCACGTCCTCAGGCTACATGACATCGGAATTTTTTAGTCGATTGTAGTTTAAAGGAGCTCAACATCATGACAAGAGTCAACATTTGGAAAAAATATGATAATTTATTGGACGCTGCAATTATTGCAGTTTTTTGCAATTATTTAAAAATTCAGGACGTAACCTCGTGGCTTGAGGGAGTGTTTTACGGTGACAATGCATATTTTTGGTTATGAATAAAAATTGAAATATGGTAACTGCGTATTCGCTATGCATCTGCTGAAAAAAGTGCACGTGCATAGCGCGTATTCCCCGAACATTTCGTGAAATCTCTCTCTCGCACAGAAAATTGAACTGGGACTTTCTCGGGCCGTAAAGGTTTAACTCGGGACTTCCCCGAACTATAACATCGGTATCATAAATTCCTAACCTGGGACTTCCCCGGGCCACTGCTTGTCTGGTGCAAAGAAGATTGACTAGAGTAGAGGGTCAGTTCTGGAGGTTGGAGTGAACCCAGCGGCATGGTAGTACTGCACCCCAAGAGAGGGAGGGCGCCACACGCAAAGGGTGGGGGTCTGCCCCTCAGCCGACGAATTTCAGTGAATACCAATTTCGTGACGCAGAAAATAATATTCACCCTGTCCTTCTGACGGCGAGACTGTTACTAAGGCAGTTACCGAGTCCGCTGACGGGCAGGCCCCCCTCCATTGGGTGCGGCCCCCTCTTTTTCTTGGGGTGAGGTACTGCAATGGGGGTGGGGACACTCAAACCCCCACTGAGTGGCTCAGTTCCGGGAGAGTACCTCACCCCAAGAGAAAGAGGGGGCCGCACCCAATGGTGGGGGGCCTGCCCGTTAGCCGACTCGGTTACTGCCTCAGTAGTAGTCCCGCCGTCGGAGGGACAAATTGACTGGACGAATTTTATTTTCTGAAAATTAAAAATTTTGAATTTCAGTGAATACCTCCTCGATTTTCATGCTGCCCTGATACTTTTCGAAAGTTCAACTTTCAGTGAGTACCTCCTCGATTTTCATGTTTTCCTTATACGTTTTTAAAAATTTTGAATTTTCACATTTCAGTGAATGCCTCCTCGATTTTCATGCTCCTCTGATACTTTTTTGAAAATTTTGAATTTTCGAATTTCAGTGAATGCCTCCTCGATTTTCATGCTCCCCTGATA